AGAAACGTCGGTTTACTCCCAATCAAAATTCAAAGTTCTCCAGTGTACCGGTGAGTTGTTCTTCAAGTTTGCTCTCTTCACTTTAATCCATTTAATGAAGTGGTGTGTTATTTTCGTACTGCTGTCAGCATTGTATTTTAGCACAACTATTCTGTTATTTTCTTGAGAAAGATTTCCAGTCTTGAATTATCACATTGCAAGAGATGGTATTGAGCTTTCTCTGCAATTCTTCAAAAAAGTGATCTGCAACAAAAACAAACACTAAAGACTTCTCAATTTCAGCCAAAGCCAACGAGTGCAACAACATGTAACGCTACTGTTTTGAATGAACGGTTAGTGATTCATTTCCACATCTTTTGTTGCATATTTGAATGTCTGGTGAAGAAAGATAAAATTTGCTTGATATTCCACTCATTTTCGTTACTTTGTTCAAATTTCCGACTTCGTTTTAATTTATTATCAGTATAATTTCAAAATTGCTGAAAGGATTATGGAAATGCAGTCAAACATTAAGAAAAAATTTTCATCTTGGAATCATCGAAAAAGAAGGTGTGTGATCTTAATGAGGCGAAAATTTGGTGAAATGAATTGATATGTGTATCATTTATTTGCCCACTGAGTTATTGTTTTCAGTAAATATGTATTTGTGGAATTTGCTGTTTATCAGTTGTTTTGCAGGAAGCGATCTGAATTCCCAGTGTTCCTCGATTCGGTATCGTTTGCTGAGTTGTTGTGCGAAATCGATACGTTCATATTCGATGCAGATGGTGTTTTATGGCTTGACAGTACGCCTATTGTTGGTTCAGCTGAATTCCTAGAATTTCTTATTGAGCATGTTAGTTCCATTCTTCATGCTTAAGAGTTCATAGCGATGGTGATATCAGATGGAATTGCAGTTGTTTCTTTGATAGGTTGTTTCCTTTTTGTTTTTCGTGCTCATTCCGAGTGCTGAGATGTAAAAATATCATATTTTTCAGGGTAAGCAAATCTTGGTATTAACAAACAATTCGAATAAATCACGGTCTGCATTATTATCAAAAATGCAACATATGCGGTTTGTGGGAATGAGTGAAGTTAGTATTATCATTATTGCAATACTTTCGTATTTTTATTGATTTCGTGGAACCTGCAGTCACTATGCTCACGCAGGTAAAATTCACCAAATAAGCTTTTCCCCTCCACTCCTAGTAATGAATCAAAGACAGCCGAAGGGAACCGGATGAATCGTAATGTTAATGGATCGTTTATTAATCACATTAACAGAATTCAATCCAACTTCAGGAGAATATCATCAATCCTGCCGTAATAATTATTCATTACCTCTTATCAAGAGGGTTTGGTGCAGATAATCGTAAGGTGTATTTGATTGGTTCGAAAGGGTTTGCCGAGCAACTCGACGATGCCGGAATTGAGCACTTTGGTTGTGGACCTGATCCAGCGTACGCTGGGAATATTGATGATGATAACTTTTTGAGTAAAGATGCATTCGTGTACCGCGTCGGTTTTGACGATCCGGTATGGTTTTTCGCATTCTCTGATAGAATCCAGTTTCTCTTATAATTTTTCATGCTTTCTCCTCATTTCCGATTAATGTCAATGAATTTTTTATTTATGAACGCTGATCGTTCAGTGCACTAGTTTGATCTACGTATTGACGATTCTTTTTAGTTTGAATCTCGATTATTGGTTATGTCGAGTTTGCTTTTCAGTTGATGATGCAGTTTGGTGTAATTCTTTTGAATGTGCACGATGATAGAATCAAAATCAAATATTCGTTTGAATATTTGATTTTGGTTCTATCATCCTTTGTTCATGTGATTAAAGTAATTTGTATCCGTCATTGATTCTTTGAATTTGTATGCATCAAAATCTGTCTCTCACAATCAGTGAATTTATTTCGTTTCAGTTAACGAAAGTTGGTGCAGTTGTAGTTGGTTTTGAGAAGCATTTCAGTTATGTTAAACTGATGCGTGCTGCGAACTTTCTGCAGGTAAGATACATAACGAAATGAAAGTTGCTTACGACTGTTTTGCTTGAAGTGAATAATTCAATATTACCATCGAGCAACCAGTTTTATCATTCTTATGAGTCGATTGAGATTGTAAATTTCATGGCGTTCATCACTTAATTTTGGTCGCAAATTGTCCTAAGGGTGAGGAAATCTGTGGCAATTCCTTCATCAAAAGGTCACTCCACCAAATTTCAAATAAAGGTGAACATGTTGCTGGGCGAAGTTTATTAGATACTTACAATTTTAAGGACCTCCAAGGTATCATTGGTTGATAGTTGTTAATGTATTGGCTAAGTGTATGTGATTGTTTACTAATTGCAACTTCATTTCCTGAATGAAGAAACTTTCGTGTTATTCAGTGGTCGTGACTTTATGAAAATCAGTAAAATGTCTTCGTCAGTAATGCTGGTATGCGCAGTTTAGGATGAGGAGTGTCTTTTCCTGGGTACAAATGAAGATGAGACCAGTCCCGGTCCACATCCGAAGATGATAATTCCAGATGCTGGTCCAATTATAGCTGCAGTCAAGACGGCTGC